GTCGCGAGGCTCCGTGGAAGGTGTGGGGCCGTGCGCAGAGGGCTCGACGCGGGGGGGGCCGTCGCACGAGGGCGTCACGGTGGGGGGTGTGGGCCGTGCGCAGAGGCCTCAGCGTGGCGGGGTTGTGGGCCTACTGCGCACGGCCCCACACCCCCACGTGGAGCCCTCATGCGCACGGCCCCAGCACCCCCCACTTGAGACCCTCTGCGGCACGGCCCACCCTCACGTGAGCCCTCTGCGCACCGGCCCCACCCGATGGAGCCCTCTGTGCACGGTCCCCACACCCCCCACGTGAGGGCCCTCTTGGCGCAGCGCCCCGACACCCACCAACTGTGAGGCCTCTGCGGGACGGCCCACCCAGCACGTGAGCCCCTGCGCACGGGCGCCCCAACACCCGCCACATGACGCTCTGCCAGCGTGGGCCCCACACCTTGCACACGTGAGCCCTCTGCACACGAAAGCCGCCACACTCCCAGCAGTGAGGCCTGCTGCACATGCCCGGACCCACCCCCCCCCCCCATGTGAACCCCTCTGCACACTGGCCCCCACACCATTCACGTGAAGCCCGCTGCCGCACAGCTCCCACACACCTTCACTCTCAGTGAGCCCTCTGCACACGGGCCCACAACACCTTCCAGGTGAGCGCCTCGCACAACGCCCCACTGCACCCCCCCGCGCGCGCCCCGCGGGCGAGCGTGGAGCTCTGCGCGCCGGCCCCCGCACCTTCCAGGTGAGCCCTCTGCGCACGGGCCCGCACCTTCCACGTGAAGCCGCCTCTGCCTCACAGGCCCCGCACCTTCCAGCGAGCCTCTGTCCACGGCCCCGCACATTCCACGGAGCCGCTCTGCGCAACGGCCCCGCACCTTCCACGGGAGCCCGCTGGCGCACGGCCCCACACCTTCCACATGAGCCCTCGCACATGCCCGGATACACCCCCCCATGTGGAAGCCCTCTGGGCACGGCCCACAAACCCCCACCTAGGCCTCTGCCATCAGTGTCGTTAACAGGAGCCTGTCCTTATTCTGAGGATGGGGACGAGTTGGCCAGCACAAGCCCCGAGCTGAATAGGGGTCGTCTCGGGCCACGACTCCTGGCCCGTTGGGGAGAGCAACAATCTGATGGGAGTGGTTGCCAGGTATCACCCCACCGCCGCCCAGCCTCGCCAGATTGTAGAGTGGAATTACAAGTTAAAATTCATCGTTATCAAGACTGTCAGAAATAAAGTGAAAACAGCCGCCAGAGCCTGGGGAAGACTCACGTGTTTATGTTTTTTTTTGGAGACAGATTCGTCACTGTGTTAGCCGGGACTAGAGTGAGTGCGTGGCATCAGGCGCGACTCACAGCCAGACCTCAAATTCTTGGCTCAAGCCAAGTGCGTCCTGCCTCGAGCCCTGAGTGCTGGGGACTACAGGCATGCGGCCAACCTATTGCCCGGCTAATTTTTTCCTAGTTTTATTGGTAGAGATAGGGATCGTCGCCGTTACTCAGGCTAGGTCCAGACTCAATCGAATCCAGCAGCCTCAGCCGTCCAGAGTGCTAGGTCACTATTAGGCATGAGCCGCGCACCGTCCCGGCTTCATGTGGTGTATTTTCTGGACAATAGTTTTATGCAGAATATGTAAGAACACCTCAATGCTACAAGTTAGCAGTAAACAGATGAGCCAACTGAAACACGGGCACAAGACTTGAAGGGGCACGTCACAAAAGGACACATGAACCAATGAGTACATAAAAAGTGTCCAACAACATTACTCATCACAGAAATGCAGCTTTTATAGTGACAGTGTCACGCACCCACCAGCGGGACCACGCTCAGACACACGTGCCCAGCCATGGTTGGTCTCACACGCCGCCCACGG